TTAGTTTGAGCATATTTTCTTGTGAGTAACACCTTTCTTGTGTTTTCTTGGACAGATTTGAGAAGATATTAAAGTGAGGTCTGCTGTGTATCTTAGGTAATATCCGAATAATACAATGATCTGAGTTCATGATAGGAGCACGTCGGCGTACTTCATATATTTAAATGGATTTTCTTAACGTGCTAGCTATCATTTTACTAGGTGAGTCGTATGCATAAAGGCTTCTAGTTTACGGATAGTGGGTAGTCCTTATCAACTTTCTTGGTCATATGTTTCCTGATAAATTTGTCCAGATAGCTTTTTTCAATCAAGGTATCAAATACAATTCTTGGTTCATCTTCAGTTGCCTCTTCTGAGTATATAGCTTTGACTTCTTCATATGTGCCACCTGTTTTTCTTTGAAACGGTGCTGCCAGGGAAAAATAAGTGGAAGAGGTGATTTCATTTAAATGTTTGCAGGCAATGGTGATTGGTTCTTGCTGTTTATGGTTGAGTATCTTCATCTCCTCTTTCTTCTCTTTGTTTACCTGAAGTCCTTCCTGTCTTGACTGCCTCTTCTGACGAATAATTAGTTTTCGCTTGTGTATATCTTCGGGTTTGTGTGACGTAAGACATGAATCACTTGCAAAATTCATATCTTCTAGTGCATTTACCTACAGTCTATCGGATGACCCAGCCTATCATAACCAAGAATATTGTCGTCCCTCTTACATGTAGCTTGTTATGCCTCAGTTGCCAGTGCTGCCGTATTTGTCCTTTCTAGCACTCTTCTTCGATCCTTTGTTATGTGAGCTATAGACTGAACTCAGGTCATTCTGTCGTTGTCTATCTCTGCAGTTTTTCATCTATTTCGATACCAGTCTCTCTTCTCTTAGTTTGTATGTGCAAATGGAGGTCCATTTCTTCTCTTGTCTCTTATTCCTTCGTAAGGCAGATATACAGGTCTCCTTCAACATCATTTTCAGAGAACTTAGGTGTTCTTCCACACAGATTTATTAGGCGAAGCTACAAAATCTTTCCGACTTCCTCCTGATGACTGCAGCAAAGGTGTTCCTTCAGTTTCTGGGTTTTGAACTTCAACCGTGATATATCTCTTGCCTCTAGGAAGGCTTTCATATTGACCTTGATTGTTCCTTAGCATCTTGTTCAGTAATGTTTGCAGATGTCTGTAGGACTCTTCCTGATTCTCATGGTCTGTTATGTCTGTAGAAGCGTAGTGTTGTATAATTGTAACTTTTCTTTCTTTCGACTTGAATATTGCTGCCATTATGCTGGTGGACACTGTTCACCAATGCATGAGAGCCTTCAATGCTATTGGTGATAACGGTAACCTCAGTGTGTTTGTGTTTGTCGTCTTGGCCACCAGAATAATAATTAGGAGAGTTCACTTCGATTCCGTCTAGTTCTACAGACTGATAAGACTGCTGTAAAATATCTTCTCATTTCTTTTGCAATCTGAGCGATCTTTATAGCTTAAAACATCGCGTGGACATTACGAGTAATCATGCTCACTTTTGCTTTCGTTTACTGAATACGCATCGTCTGAGGATTTCCCTGCTTCAAGAAATTATTTTTCCAAATGAGACATCTTTTCCATTCCGACGAAAAGTGAGTTTATTTCCCAAATGTCTTGATTGCAAGTCCCACGTCTGACCTTCTCCGTGTTTCTCGGTCTAGGACCTGCTAGTAAACTGGGAGTTGCTGAGTAATAAAATAAAACAGGAAGCACCTTGATAGCTTAGTATAATGGTGGCGTCATACACAACATAACAGTGTATTGTCCTCCTTCGGCAGTTGGCTGGTAGGATAAAAATCCTATTTATGAAACTGAGGTCCACAAACGAATGTGAAAGATATTCACTCATTTAAATATGTCAAGAAAGAATGTCTCCAATAAACAGGATTTTTACACTGCTTCATTGGGAAAATGCTGGAACTTGAATCCACAAAGTTAGGTTTGAATTAAGAGCATAAATATAGTCAGTTATGGTCGGCTGTTATGATGCACTAGAAGGTTTATTGAGCGAGCAAGTTAGTCAGTATATCAAAGGAAATTGATATCTGATTCAACCGAATATCATTCAAAATAAAATCTTAAGCAAATGCTACAGAGTAAACTGTAGAACGTCTACGGAGACTGCTCAGTTAAAAGTGAAGTATTCTTCTACCAAGGTAGAGAGAGGAGATAAGATGATCACAAGCATAAGCAGTTGAGTATTTCTCACCTAAAATATACACATGTATTCAGTATTCCAGTCATTCCAGTATTGTGACTTTTCAAATCAATGTACTCTGAGTTAATTCTCCCATTCTTTCTTTCAATATAAGAAGGGACAATCTGTGAATTATTTTCCAGAAATTATGGAGTATTTCAGGCAGAGGAATCAAAGAGAAGAGAGAAGACACAGGATTTCAATAAGTACACATTTGGGAATCCTATATCGAGTATCAAAGATGATTTTGTAGGCCTCTATTAGTCCCAGTAAAGAGGGAGATTTGAGCTAGAGACTGCATGCAAAAACAACACAGCTCTCGGAGCATCACTGCCTGTAGCCTTGTATTTCAGTCAGATGACAATAGAGGCTCAGATTCCAGGGAGTTGTTCATGGGATTAAGACTTCTCTATTCTTGTACGGATAAATAAGGAAAACTGAAGAAGACTAAATTTTATGTAGGAAAGCTTCCTGTGTTCGAATACCCCATTATTGTTGCATACTAGATCGTGCGAGACACTGTGTACGGAGAGCGAGAAAGCAGGAATATCTTAGACCTATAAGAAAACACTGGATAGATAGTCTGCAATTCGCGGACGACTTATGTCTGATGTCACACAAATTTGAAGACTAACAGGCGAAAACCAACAAGTTGGCAGAAGAGGTAGAGAAATCGCGTGAAGATAACCAACCACCAATAACAAGCACTAATCACTTTCAACAGAAGGAGTGTGAATGGGTTCGCTTTCTTTATTTATCTAGTCACAGTTGTTTCAGTTACAGATATTCTGCACAGATACGGACGTGTAGACGATAATCAGGAAGACAAGTAAGACCTTCATCATTCTGAAATGAATGTTGAAATCTTCTGCACTTACCACAAAGAACAACATTCTGATTTTCAACACCAATGTTAAGTCCGTCAGTTATTTTATATAGATCAGAAACTTGGCGCATACATTTCAACGAAAGCATTTCAAACAGCCAGCTTCAGACTTTTACCAGCGGATTCCTTCGCTCCATACTTCAAGTTTAATAGTCAGGAGAAATTAGTGGCAAGAAACTCTGGGGAAAAACCAACCAAGATCCCAAGTTTCAACAAATATTCAAAAAGGATCAGCAGTGGATGGTTCGGACACATACTGAGGAGACCGTTGAATGACATCACGCTCCAGACAATTAATCGAGTGGAATCCGAATGCATAACTACGTGTTGAATGTCTGTTGGAGGGTAACATAGGGAAGATCTTGTGAGGAGGAGACAAGAGCCTATGGGCAATCTCGAAGCCATCTAAAGACGACTGTAGAAAGCAGGACAAAATGGAGATGTGCCTTTGAAGCTGTGTATTCCACCCGAAACCCAAGGGAATAGTAATCATAATGAAATTCGATAGGAAGTTAAATACTACAGTTTACAGGAAACCCATACACTCAAATTGATTATTAGATTTCAATCCACTCCACTCTCTGTTATTGGAAATAACCAAAATTAATTAAATGTATAAGCAAAGAGGTAAAACAGCCATGTACAACGAGAGAAAATCTACGACAGTAAGTAAAACATATCAGAGAAGCTTTGGCACTGACTAACTACCCTGATAAATTAATCATGATGTATATAAGAAATTGTAAGCACGAGATTAAAAATAATGATAACGAGTGCTATATGAATGACAAATGTAGACAGAAAGACGACGACGACAACAACAACAGGGAGCCTCTGAAATCCCACACAGAGTTCTTAACAAGGCAGGAATGAAAGCGATACTGAAATCAACGAACGCACTTAGAAACAAGCTTTGTCGGTTAAAGGAACCTGTGGAGCTCAGTAAACAAAATAATTATGATGAGGTGAAATACATAGTTCAAAGTAGTAGGTAGGCGGTCAGTCAGATTAGTGGAGCACAGACACCTAACGAAATCAGGTTTAGTTCATCCTAGTAAAATAAGGGATTTAGAAAAACAAAGCCTTGTTATTCAAGTGTTGGTTTGTAGGGATTTAGTTGGTTGGTTACAGGATTTCACTATGAGCTGACATTAGTTAGAGAACCATTGAAAAACCTGGGAGTACTGGACCAGTAGGGTGCAGCAGGTCGGGTGTGAAGACGAATACTCGCCAAAGACATTGGCTAGAAGTCGCGCTGTGTCGTAAATTGGCAGAAGTTAGGATTCATGGGCTGGTCATTGGATCGGGTCCCGGTGGCTAAATGGTCTACGAGCTCGCTAACCTTGGAGCCAGAAGGTCCTGGGTTCGAACCCTCGCGGCGAGTGCATACTGATGAAGAGTCCCGAAAGAAGAAGAAACAGCTGTCCAGTACTCCCTGCAGGTTTTACAGTGGTTATCTAACCAATGTCAGCTAATGATGAAATCCCAAAGCCTAGTTAAACATAACATAACGTGTAGTTACATACAACCATACAGTAGGATAAGACAAGATGACAGCCTTAAAATCTAATATGACAACTGAAGTTTTATTCGTCAAATCAAGTGAAAGAGAACACACATGCAACAGGAATAAGTCGGTACTTATCCTGAACAATGTGACAAATTCTACAAACCCTACAACCAGTGGCAAAAAAGGACGATAACTATTAAAGTTGAGTTTGGAAGTCACTCAGATACAGTTGATGGTATGCTTATGAACAATAAAGTATGCCTGAGACTTTGTCATCCAGTAAACAACACTGTTTCATAAATTAACACGGAATTAAACTTCATCTCCTCAAACTATCATGTGTGAGTAAATCCATTCATATGAAAATAAGACACTAAAAAGGGACGCTTACCTATAATAAAGTCATACTGTGTACTTTGAAGTTTCTTTATAACCTGTTCAGAGTCATCAGCATCGATAATGCTGTATAACGCTGGCCAGATCTTGTAGCTACTCCACACTATCAAAATAGAGATTGTAGGCAAGATGAGCTTCAACATCCCGGTTCTATGCATCAATGAATAGCTTCAAGAAGTAAGGAAACTAACAAGTGGACCAGTGAACATAAAACTTATTCTTGTGTTTATCATTAAGCGTGTTGAGCTGTTTTTATGAGAAATAAACATCTCGAAAAAAGAGAAGAAATTGAGAAAGGCATAGAGTAGAGTAAGAAATTGATCATGTATACATCATACACATGAACTAGGCGAAACGAACTGGTGTAAATTTTCCCATAGGGAAATAATTCATTTAATCTGCTTAGCAGGGTGACATTTATCCTGTTTTCCTTTTTTTCTGTTCTTGTTTCACTTCACCCTCCTCCCTACTCCCGACCTCATCTTGATATTTTCTAATTATCACTTGTAAAAATGTGGACATCAGGGAAATCTTCAGTTCATTGGTATAATGTTACCTCTTCGTATCATTACTCACACTACAGCAACCAATCGGATTTAATCAGTTGAAAGGCGTAGGCAGCTGGTTTGCTTTGTTTCTTTTTCATTGACAAAACATTCACCAATATTGTCATTATTATTTCCTAGTCTGTTGACCTTGTTGATTCTCATCGATGTACAGAAGAAGGTAAGATAAGGTAGATATTTTTTACGGCTCTGTGGCATCACTGGGTCGGTATTTGTGATTCTGGATGACTTCTGAGAGTGGACGCTAGTAACTAGTGTGAGATGCGTCTAGTCCTTTACTTGGTGCAGACTGAATTCTGTCAGTCAGATTTGCAATATGACCACCATTCTAGGTAGCTGGCTATCACGGTGCACATTGATTTGATGATAGTAGATAGTTGGAGGCAATCGGCTACAGGAAGCCCCGCTTGACCTAGATTTCGTGCTAGTTGGCACTCACTACTCAGAAAGGCGTATCTGCAACCTTGAGGGGGCTCATTCCCCTTCTAAGATTCGAATCCGCGTCACCCAGTGAGTGTTGCAGTCAGAGACGTTACCAGTCAGCTATTCAGGCTGCTGATTGACCTCCTGTAAAACTGTAGTGGATACTTTGATTGGACACTAGTCAATGGTAACGTGTCTGACTGCAGCACTCACTGCATGACGCTGGTTCGAATCTCAGAAGGGACACGAGCTGTTCATTCAGAGTTGCAGATACGCCTTACTGAGTGATGAATGCCAACTACCACGAGACCTAGGTGAAGACGTAGGGCTTCAACTATCTAATATAAATCATATCATGCTGATTGCCTTCAGCTATCTGATATCATAGTAGGATTTCACATTTCACTTGCACAGCGGTTCCTTGAGGATGTCAAAACCAGAATTGGAAGGACAAAACACACATTCATCATTCTGAAATTATTTTGCAAATCTACTCCACTCAGTAGTAAGTAGAGAATTCATATTTTCAACACACACACCTGTTAAGTTAGTCATTCCTTCAATATATATATGGGTTAGACACCTGGCGTCTGTGTCACGAAAAGCATTTCCAACAGGCTACTGAAGACTTTTATAGTAATAAATAATGATAATCTGTTTATTCCAGACAGCCATAATTATTATACAGAATGAAATTTTCGGCATTTTTATACATACTGCAAAGATGTAGTTTCTAAATACTTACTCTCCATACTACAACCACTACAAAAGGACACTCAAAATATTGTAAAAAATTCATATGATTTCAAATCCCAAATAGAACACCGAGAAATTGATAAAGAAGACAATATGGTAAGCTATGATATTAACTCATTATATACTAGAATCCCTACTACCGAAAGTCTTGACATCACTTCCAGTCTACTAGAATCAGATACAACACTATCACAAAGATGTCCACTGGACACCAGTGAAATAATTAAGAGCTTAAAATTCTGTCTAGAAAGTAATTATTTTACATTTAGAGTGAGTTTATATAGACAGACAAATGGTGTTGCTATGGGTTCACCAGTCTCCCCAATAGTCACCGATCTTTACATGAATAAATTCGAAAATAATATCTTTTCAAACATACTCACTCCTAAAATATGGTTAAGATATGTGGATGATACTTTTGTAGTACTAAAACGAGATCTACACAATTCATTCCTGGAGAAAATAAACTGTGTATCTCCCAAAATCCAGTTCACTTCGGAAGCAGAATCAGACATCGGTGAACTACCATTTCTAGACTGTCTGGTTAAGAGAAAGGAAAACGGACACTTTAGTATATCCATATTCAGGAAGAAAACCCACTCCAATAAATATTTAGACTTCAAATCATCACACCCCATCAGCGCAAAGATTTCAGTTGTTTCAAGTCTTCTTAGACGAGCACACTCCCTGATAACAGATGAGCAAGAAAAAGAAGAAGAAATATCAAACATCACTGAAACTCTCAAGCAAAACAACTACCCAAGGAACTTCATCAACAAAATCAACACAGACAGTAAGTATGGACGAAAATGCATTCCGAAAACATGGACATCAACATCCGTCATTCCATATAGAGCAGAGACGTCAGACGATATCAGAAGAGTACTCAACCAGCTGGATATTAAAGTTTTCTTCAAAACATCGGACACACTTCAAAGGAACCTTGTCAATATAAAAGACCAAATCCCTAAAGATTCTTTATCTAATTGGGTCTATAAAATAAAATGCTCGGAATTTGGTGCGATCTACATCGGACAAACATCTCGAGAAATCAAAATCAGAAGAAATGAACACCGTAGAGCATCTCTTCGACCACCAAAGAAATCCAGTTGAACTAGGAAAATTTCAAAAATCATCAGCCATAGCTTGTCTACACGCTCTAAAATTAGGCCACAAAATTGATTTTGACAATATTGAAATAATCCAAAAAAACTTCAGAAACCACAATGAACGTCTAATATAAGAAGTACTCCTTATCAAGTGGAATCCAAGTGGCCTGATTAGGAGTGATGGACTAAAACAGAATCTGACCTGGCTACAAAACCCCCCTCCCCCATGAAGTAGCAAAATCAACACAAATGTGATAAGCAAGTTCACTATGTAAACACATACTACTCTCATAATTCTACACACTGATAAAATCCAACAATCTACACTTGATTTTGTTATCTTTACCAATTCACCAACTTGACAACCAAAAATGACCCCAGACTGACGAACGATGATCAGGTTAGTAAACTTTATTTCGATATAATAACAGATATACTATCACCATTGATATTTGGTTTGAGTGATCTTCTATGTTATTTTGACTTTCAATATGTCCTTTTAAGTTGAACTAAGTCTATATTTTTCTCATCCCCTAATTCTTTGTTATATATATGCTGAGATTTTGTAAATTCCGGTTTAATAATACTTTGAGAAAGCTATTAGGAGCATTAAATAGCGAAACGTCACTAAAAACAATCTCGTTTTGTTTTTCATTCATTGGGAAGTACAAAAAAAACCTTTATTATAATAAATATTTAAAAAATAATAATAAAACTACAAACAACTGGAGGTTAAAGCAAAAAATATTAAAATGTAAGTAGATGATGTCAAGGAAACTGCATTTCGATAAAGAAAGAAAGACGAAATTTGCAGTATAAAATGATATCATTCTATTTCACAGGTTCTCATCAGCTGCACACTACCTGAAATTACAGTGGTTATATAGATGATAATAACATACTTTAATGTTCGAGTGGTGGTAGAAAAGAGATACTATAAAATTGACGCATCTAAATGAAAGCATTGCAATGTTTTTAGTTTAAGTTTTCATCATCAATTTATACGCTTTTAAAGTTGAATAGAGGGGGAGGGGTAAGAGAGAAAACAGAAAAATTGATTAACAGAACAGTGTTAGCTTTTAGGTTCACATAGCAACTCAAGAAACAAAAAAAAACAAAAACGGTTACAGTTTATGAGATTAAGATTTGTTCAGTGAGTTGAGATCACTGAATTAGATGACTAATCAAAATCAAAATTCTGTTACCAAGGGAGTGAGAGGTTAATCACACTCTCTTTCTGTATGCATAAGTCTGGTTTAAGTCTTTTGATTGCGATTGCTTCGGCAAATCGTAGTAAATTTGCTGTCCTTTGTCTATTTAATATTTTGAAGGACTTAGAAATCTCTACGAGATGTCCGGTATCAATAATGTGTCTTGTAATTGCACTCTGGGAATATCTGCTTCCTTTCAGGCACAGGTTTTTGGGAATATGTTCAGAAAACCGAATAGAAGCCCTTCTTTCTGTCCTTCCAATGTACTTGCTCCCGCAAGTGCACGTGAATTCATAAACGCAGTTGGAGGTGACATCAGCAGGGTATTTATCCAGTTTTGAGCGTATTAAAGAAGGAGTGGTGCTGTATACTGTTATGAGTTTTGCTGCTGGGAAGCTTCTATTTATTGCACCTTTCAGTCTTTTGTCAATCTTTTGTGACACTGCATCTTCTTTGTATGGTAGACAGATAAACACTTTTTTCTTTTCTACAGTTGGATGCCTTTCTTTCTCATCTTTTTCTCTGCTGTACTTCTGAATAAATCCCTTAGGGTATTCATTTTCCCTTAGGCATTTCTCGACGAAAACTAATTCTTCTTCGACCCTGTTTGGTGAACATAGCTTCCTGGCTCTGTCATACAAAGTCCTCACTAATCCACGTTTATAGCTTATGGGACAAAAGCTGTTATATTGAAGGTATTGTCCAGTCCATGTTTCTTTTCTATAGATGGACTTTTCGACGATGCCTTCGTTTGTTCTTTTTACCTTTAGATCCAGGAAATTGAACTCATTATTATGTTCATATTCCATAGTGAATTTGATATTTGGATGTATCTCATTTAGGCGATCATATAGTGCCGATGCGTGATCCATATCGTTGATTAGTCACCTAATTCAGTGATCTCAACTCACTGAACAAATCTTAATCTCATAAACTGTAACCGTTTTTGTTTTTTTTTGTTTCTTGAGTTGCTATGTGAACCTAAAAGCTAACACTGTTCTGTTTAATCAATTTTTCTGTTTTCTCTCTTACCCCTCCCCCTCTTTTCAACTTTAAAAGCGTATAAATTGATGATGAA